AAAAATTGATGTGGGTACTCAAATAAAAGGTCTTGATGAATGTAACATCGGGATGAGCTTATATCTTTAAAAATGTCAATAGTTAAAAAAGTACAGTCCAATTTAACATAATTAAGAAACTACCTTGTATCTTAAGAACTATTGACATTTTTAAAAATATAAGCTCATCCTGATGTTACACTCATTAAGAGCTTTCATTTGAGTACCCACATGCATTTTTGATATATTTTTCATATATACATATATATAAATATATAAAATATATGAAAAATTGATGTGGGTACTCAAATGAAAGGTCTCGATGAATGTAACATCGGAATGAGCTTATAACTTTAAAAATGTCAATATTCAAGAAAGTACAGCGCAAATTAATAAAATTCTGTATTTAATAAACCAAAATTTTAATTTTTTAATGTAAATTTTTTTATTTTTTATTTTTAGAGAAGTACGGACACTTACTCATCGACTTCCGTCAGACAATGGTCACTTATCTTTTAACGAAGGCGACAGACTGAAAGTTATCTTGGAGGTAGATAGCAAATGGTTATTATGCGCTAAGGGCGATCGCAAGGGCTTAGTACCCAGAGCTTGCGTGCACGTTTGTCAAACTTAGCCCAAGACTTTATACTGATAATCATCAACCGCATGGAAATTCAAAACTCACGTGTTAGGTATCCAAAAAAATTAATTGTGTGTGCTAAAGTTACGGGTGGCAATAATAACTTGGATTCGTGTCATTACATTCGTGTCATATTAAAAAATAAAATTCATGACAAAAGTAGATTAATGTACAGTGTATCAAATGAAGAACAAAGATGAGAAGTTTCTCATTGATTAGTTAATCAATAAAGTTTGTCTTAATTATATTTATATTTAATATTATAATTATAATAACTATGGCAAAGATTAATCTTTATTTTATTAGTTAATAATTAATAATTAATAATTATTTTAAGATAATTAATCGATGAAAAATAAAAATAAATATAACTAGTCATTTTCTCGATACCAGATTGTATTTAATTTAATTATCTAAAGAGAACTCCGTTGTACATATATACAGTGTAACGTTAATTGAGTAGTAATAACATTATTATTATTATTATCATTAATTATTATTATAATTATAACTGTGATCATAGATAAAATAGGCAAATAAGTTTATCAGTTTGTTTCGTTTTATAATGTTTGTTAAATCCAATTAAAAAATATTTAGATAACGCTTAATTTAATACGCAAATATATTATTTAATAATAATAATTTTTATTGTTTAAATTCAGCTAAATGTCACAAATGTATAAATTATATCAATGTCATTGTGCGGTATATTTAAAATAATCTTTTTTTACTTGCTTATTGCTTATTATATCTTGCGTATTTACCTGCATATCGACTTAAGTTTTAATCAAAGAGTAATTGTAATAGTACTCTAGTAATAATAAATAGTTGTACTATTTTAAATACTCACTGTACAGATACAAGTGACTTATCATTATGCAATAATGCTCGACTTTAGATACTTAGTCATATATTTAAGTAAAAATTATAAAGAAAAATTTAAAAATTGAAAAAAAAAAAAAAAAATATAATTATTTATAACGAGAAAAATAAGGGAGAAAATAATTGTGGACAAAATGTATATATATTTCGATGTATGAAAACGTATGATAGCTTCGCTGAATATCTATTATTATAATCATCATGTTAAATCACAAAGATTATATTATTAAAAAAAAAAAAAAAAACGATGTTACACTAATTGAGACCTTTCATTTGAGTACCCACATGGCATTTTTTATATACTTTATATATATATATGATATTTGTGAAATATATATATATATATATATATATATATATATATATATATAATATATGGAGTTTAAAAACACAAAAATAACCCAAGTATCAAACATTACATTGTTTTGTATCACAACTTAATAGATAAATGTTTTCGCTTTGTGTCTTGTTCAAATGATGTTATATATATGATATATTATATACAATAAAAAAGATAAATTAATATTAATATATATATATATATATAATAAATCATTGAGCGTAAGACAAGTTAATATGAGTATATGATACATAAGGAAACGCTACAACTCAAAAAAATCATAATATAAATTGGCCTCGTTTCAATTTTTATTGATTCGCTCGTATTTGATGAAACATATACGTATGTATACATTTACATAAAATAAAAATTATCATATTTATGACTTATTTGTGTTTCTTATTTATTAATATTTTAGTTTAATAAAATGTTCCTACAATCCTTAAAATTTCCAAAAAAATTTTTTTTACAAATCAAATATTAATTCATTAATTTACAATTAAATAATTGTAACACCCAATTTTTTTTTAATAAATTTTTTACATTAAAAAAATTAGGTAGAAACATTTTATTACTAAGCTATTATTTCTATTTCTTAGTCTTAAATCTCCTAGGATTAATATTAGTTAATTAATATTTACACAAAAAATTTACGGAGCTAATTAAAAAATTATGTTGCTGTTACATTTTTATTAATAAATGAATTATTAAAATCTTAACGTGATTAATAACTGATAATGATTTTTTTAATGATAAATATGAAACATATTAACGAACACTTACATAGCTAGATCAACGATACGAAAAAAGCATACAATATTTTTATTTTTAATATTATCATTATCACTGATGGTTTAATTAAAAAAAATTATGGACAAGTTTATATCATCCAGTCAGTCTCTGCCACCACATATATTTAAATTAGCATTGTAAATTGTAAATAAAAAAAAACATGTTACATAATATTACCCTGGGATGACAGATCAATAGTTTTATAAATGAAAATAAAGTTAGCCGACGTTTTTAATTTTTTAATAATTAAATTAGAACAAAAAAATATTCTTTAAAAATTCCACTAACGTTTTTTACAAGTGAAAATTTTTTTATAATTATTTTTTCAATAAAAAAAAAAAATTTCACATATAAAAAACTTGAGTGCAATTTTTTAGAAATATCTTTTTGGTTGTAATTTAATTAATAAAAAAAATCAAAAATTTTTTAGACTTCTGTTAAATTCAGTGTCATTTTTATAATAATAATAATAATTTCATTAAAAAAAATTATTATATCTTTTATAAGCTAAAATATTTATAAATATTGCTGGCAAATATTAACAAAAAATTCCATACAACAAATTTAAACATTTTTCATTATAAATTTTTATGAGCATGCATTTTAAAAATATAATTTTTCCTAATAAAAAAATTTTATTTATAAATATAAATTTCAATATGTGAAAAAAAATTTTAAAGATCTTCTAAGAAAAAGTCTTTTACAAAAGCCTCGTTGTTCAAGTAGTTTGAAAGGAAAAAATTTTAAAAATAAATAAATCTTGCACTTGATGTCTTACAAGGCAAAAAAATTACTTAAAACAAGATGTTGAATTATACATGTGGTAATTATAAGAACAAATGAGACATTGTACAGATTTAGCATGTAAAAAATTAATTCAAGTGTTGCTTATTTTTTTTAAATGTATTTACAATTTATATGTTAAAAAAATTTAGCTGGTGACCACTAGCTCGTGGTAAATAAAGCAATACGCTAATACAATTTTTTATTATAATCTAATTCACTGGTCGATATGTCAAGTGACTTAAATTCATAAATATTTTTAATAGTATTATTATTATTATTAGTATTAAAATTATTATTATTATTATTATTATTATTAATAATTAGCAATGCTCAATTATTTGTCAATCCTAATTGTCGAAAATTTGTTCGATCAGATCTCGCATAAAATTCTATACCTTAACAATTATAAATCTTATTATTAATTAATATTTATATAATTAAATGGCAAATTTTTTTTTTAATTAATTAAATAAACATATAAAATATTTAGCATTAATTAATATTTGGCACTGTCAGAGCCCAGTATCTAAAATAAAAGTTAACAATTAATAAATAAAAACCTAAAGTATTTTTTGATGAATTATGCGTTATGATATATTATTTTTTCTTTTTTTTTTTTATAAATTAACATAAAAAATAGAAAAATAAAAAAAAGTTTACGATACTGGGTAGACATGTAGTCCGTTATAAAATTTAATTAATTACAAAATAGCTGATTAATAAGTATATAAAGAATGAACTTTTTATTAAAAGTTAATTGATAAAATGAGTGATTAATTCTCTAATTATTATTAATAATTATCCTTACTATTTTCATCCTTTAAAATCTTCCTCGATGAACTGTACAATTAATAATGTATCCGTGGCTCTTGTATGGTTCACACATGCAAGTGCCGATCTAAAAATTTGATTCGAAGAAAAAATAAAATTAAATTATAATTTATAAATATTCATTTAAAATTAATAGAGAAAATTAAAAAGAGAAAAAATTTTTCTACAGATGTGACCAATATTTCCACAAGCAGTTAAATTAAAAAAAAAAAAAGCTGATTAAATAATATTGTGTTTGTTAATAGCGATTTTTTTTTTTTTTGAACTATTGAATTCCTCGTGGCTATCAATCGGTTAACACGATTGTGTCTACCAGGTACATCGTATAAGGGTTGTTACAACGTTCACATCATCAATACATTAGAGTATTATTCGTTAATTTATTTTTAATAATTAACCATTAATTAATTCTCGGTATTTTTTTTTTTATATATATTCATCACAAAATCGGGTTTTTTCGGCCCAATACTTTAAATCATTTCAAAATACTCTCCATCATTCTGTCAATGACAAAGAACACTGATAATTTTATTTTTAAATTCAATCTAATATTATTTACAATTTATAAATTTTTTTTTTCTACTTTATATTACAAATAATTTTAATTATCAATATCAGTCCTACGATTTTTCTAACCAAGTTTGCTAATTACAAATACGCTAATTTATATGTAAATTTAATTACACATATATGATGAATAAATTAATTAAAAAAATTAATAAAATATCAGCGTTCTTTGTCGATTATTATAGATAAAAAAATATAATACAAGAAACGGAGATGTGCGATTCAAGTATAAATATAATACATTCAGACTAACTACATACTAGATTCCTTGGTGATGACTGAATCGTTGGTATTGTCGACGCGAATTAAAGTCGATGAATTGATAACGAGACTTCTACTCAAGGTAGTAATTCTTTCCATAACACAAGACGCTGATAATCGTGCCTCGGCGTCGTGATCCCAGCACTCTTCCATCGTATCACAAATAGACAAAAGACCCTAAAAAATATTTATTTATAATTTATAATAAGAATTCATTGTAACTTGTAAATTGATATTAAGTGATGTAATATTATATGTCCAATTACCGGATGCTTTCGCCATGTTTCCTGTATCAATGGACGTTCTTTTTTAAGCACTACGCTTTCTTGCATGTCTTCCAGAGTTGGATGGAGACCAACTTCTTCTTCAAAAGGTAATCTGTACTCTCCGATGGGTCCCTGAATGATATAATTTATTTAATAAAAATTTTGTTTCAATATAATATTCACTCATTCATATTAATGTCTCTAATAATAAAATTTTTATTATGACTTTTTTTAAATTGCACTGTAATTTTTTTACTATTGACATTTTTCAAGATATAAGCTCATCTCGATGTTACACTCATCGAGAGCTTTCATTTGAGTACACACATGCATTTTTGATATATTTTTCATTTATAGATATATATGATATATATAAATATATGAAAAATTGATGTGGGTACTCAAATGAAAGATCTCGATGATTGTAACATCGGCATGAGCTTATATTTAAAAAAATGTCAATAGTTCACAAGGTGCAAGGTCGTTTTTTAATTATGTTAAATTGGACTGTACTTTTTTAACTATTGACGTTTCTAAAGATATATGCTCATCCCGATGTTACACTCATTAAAAGCTTTCATTTGAGTACCCACATGCATTTTTGATATATTTTTCATATATACATATATATAATATATATAAATATATGAAAAATTGATGTGGGTACTCAAATGAAAGGTCTTGATGAGTATTACATCAAGATAAGCTTATATCTTTAAAAATGTCATTAGTTCAAGAGATACAAGGTCATTTCTTAATTTTATGTATCTTGAGATAGAGCATTTTATCACATAATTAAACTGGTCACAATATTTTGCTTATTTTCTTAATAATATAGATAATAATAATAATAATAATAATAATAATAATAAAATTTCAAACCATGAATTATTATCATTATAAAATTATAAATAATAATTTAATTACTCTCATAATTTTGAAATTTTAGATAAAATAAAAAAAAATAGATATATATATATATTTTTTTTTCATTAGAGACTTAATATGTATAAAGCAATCTATAAATATCTTGAGAACTTACGTCTTGTACTGTACACCGTGACGCCAATTCCCAGAGCACTAGGCCACAAGCGTACATGTCAATACGTAAAAATGAGTCTCGTGTAAAGTTTATCGCACCCTCTAATACTTCTGGCGCCATGTATCGTCGAGTACCAACCTGTAATATTAATCATCGTTACATAAAAAAATTCAAGACTTCTAATTAACACTAAATAAGGTTGTGAGTATAATTTATCGGATAAAAAAAAAACTTTTCCGTACTTGTCCATGAGTGTCGCCACAAGGTTTTCCAGGTTGAAATATCAACGCGAGTCCAAAGTCCGCGATGCATGCGCTCATGTCGGACTTGAGAAGAACATTTTTCGATTTAAAGTCGCGGTGCGCTACCGCGGGTTTATACCCATCAGCTTTGTTAGCAGGAATTTCTTCATGCAAATGCATCAATCCACGTGCCATTGACTCGGCAATACGGCACATTTCTGCCCAAGATACGACATTGGCTTTCAAATAGTCGCAGAGTGATCCTTTTTCATGATAAGCTGTTATCAACCAGAACTCAGCTTGAAGATTGTCGCCGCGTTTTTCAACGCCGATAAATCGTAATACATCCTCATGATTCATGTGAGCTAATTTAAATATTTCTTGCTCTGTTTGCCACGACTGTTTATCTTGCATCGGGAATACTTTAACAGCAACTATGTCATTTTTAAATTGAGCTTTCCATACTGCTCCAAAACGACCACGAGCTTTTATTTCGACCAGGTGGATTTGTCGTAAACCCAGATTCGGCGACGGCTGAGGCAAGGGAAGTGGCTCTAATGTTGGAACCTAAACATGTTTTACGATTAATTTTTTTTCTACTAGCAATCTTGCAGTCACTATGTGACTGCCATGACTTGAGAACTATGAATAAATAAAATTTTGCTTGTATCTTGTGAAATATTGACATTTTTAAAGATATAAGCTAGCTGATCTTGATGTTTACACTCATCGAGAGCTTTCATTTGAGTACTCACATCCATTTTTGATATATTTTTCATATATACATATATCCATATATATATAAAATATATAAATATATGAAATATTGATGTGGGTACTCAAATGAAAGGTCTTGATGAGTATAACATCGGGATGAGCTTATATCTTTAAAAATGTCAATATTTCACAAGATACAAGGTCGTTTTTTAATCAAGTTAAATTGCACTGTACTTTTTCAATTATTGAGACATTTTTAAAGATATAAGCTCATCCTGATGTTACACTTATCAAGAGCTTTCATTTGAGTACCCACTCGCATTATTGATATATTTTTCAGATATACATATATATATATAATATATACAAATATATGAAAAATTGATGTGGGTATTCAAATGAAAGGTCTTGATGAGTATAATATCAAGATGAGCTTATATCTCTAAAAATGTCAATACTTCACAAGATACAAGGTTATTTCTTAATTATGTATCTAAACAACACAAAATTTTACTTATTCTCTTAATAATATAGATTATTTTTAATTTTTATTATTTTTACTCACCTCATTGAAATATCCGAGCTTTCGTTGTTTGTAACACCAAAACAATGATAGCAAAATAACTGTCAGCAACAGCATTGGCACCAATACAGATACAACAAGTGTTATCACATGTTGTTCGGGATTTGGTACTGGTGTTAATTCTGTAATAATTATATTATATAATAAATAATATTTTGATTTTTTTTTTTTTTCAAGTAAACTAATTCTAGAATATTATTTTTAAAAAATTACATTTATAATTTTTAATTAAAAATATTTACCATGATCTTTAGGCGCTTCAGTCGGCTGAGGATCCCACGTGTAATTTTGATTACACATATCCCCATCACAGCAGCAAAAGTACATCTTTCCCTTACGGTCGCTATTTTTTTCTACGCAACATTGTTTGTCATAACATTCTCTACTGTCTAAGAAACAACCCTGAAAAAAAATTTACTTATAAGTAAAATAACTAAATCAATTAAAACAGCAATTTGACTTGCTATTTTGAGTCTAAAAAAAATACCTTGAGTTTAACAATAGACTTCTTAGTAACTTCGTCAATTTGCCATAGCACATAACAGTGATTCCTTTTGTCTGGTTCAGGTGGGGAACATTTTTCTATTTCTGGACAGTTTTTCGTCGGATCTGCACACGACGTTTCGTTATAATATTCGCATTGCGTTGAACCTTTAATATCATGGCCAACAACAGACGACAGACCTATTTGCCAAAATTATTTATTAATAGAATTTTCATAATGACTATTTTAATTACAAAACTTATAATATAATATTGAAACATCTAAAAGAAATTTAAATAAAAATAATTTACAAGGATGAGTTATACAGATTGGGAATAAAAAAAATATTCAAAAAGAGTAATCAGTTGTTTACAATATCAACAAGCATTCAGCCTTGGAACGCTGTAAGCATAAATATATCACCTCTCACATCTCATATTTAGAGTGTAGTATTACATGTACTTGTAAGTTTGCTTGAGAATTATACAGAAATTTTAAGAGCTTGTCTTAAATTTTATATATTTTTTTGGAGTAAAATTTGTCCAGATTGAGTGACTAAAATTTAAAAAACAAAAAAATATTTATCAAGATACTTGTTCTGAAAATTGCAATTATAATTTGTGCAATTTTTTTAATTGACAAATTTGATACTCCAAAAATTAAAAACAATCGCGGCGTGCGCAACTTCTCCCCACTTGTAGATGCGCGATCCGCGTCGGTAACTGGATCAGCTGTTGAGCTAATTTTTCCATCCTCAAAATAATTTTTCCATATATATAAGCAGCTACTACTGAGTTTTTATGAAAATTTAGAAACTTGAATTTTTGATCAAGGTTCATGAAATAAATTTCATTGAAAGTTAATTAAGCTGCTTAGGCTAATTGCAAAACGTTTTTGGTAATAACTAAGCGTCTTATTAATCTTGCGAGAATTCTTTGGAGTTTTTCAGAGATATTTTTTACATGTTGCCTACTGGCGAAAGTAAACATAGCTCACTTTATTCTACAGGTCAAGATATCTAAAAAAATAGAACGGCAGGAATATTTTAGAGTAGAAAATAAATTAATATTTATTTTTTTAATATTTTTAGTTAGTAATTTAATTTGAAAATTAATTTTTTTATAAAAAAAATTTTAGATGCCAAAAAAATTGAAAATTAAAACCAAAAATTAAAAGCACGTGGGAATTTTATATTTTTGTTTTTTAATTAATAAATTTATTTAAAAACAAAAAAAAAAAATAAATTAAATGAAATATTTAAAAAAATTTTGAAAAAAAATATTTTTTTGCTAATAATTTCTATTGATTCAAAAAACAGAAAATTTTTAAATGACTGTTTATTTTATGAAAATTAATTTAGCAGATATTTAAAAATTTTTGTAACAAATAATTTATGGTAAAAAAATTAACATGTAGAAAATAAAAAAATTATATTTTGGATCAAATTTTCTTGTTAAAAAAAAATGTTAACGTTAATCTCATATTAATTTTAGTGTCATAAAATATTTGTCAAAAAAAATATTAGACTTACTTATGTGTAATAAAAATAAATAGAAAATAAAAAAAGGATCAAAAAAAATTGTAGTCGGTCGATTGGAATAAGAAGGTCGATTGTTTCAGCTTCACTCGCAATTACAATAATAAACCCACTGTGATGTATAAATATTTAATAACCGTATTGGTATAGATATATGTATATAAATCAGACATGATATATACGTAACATGTATATTGAACTGTAATACATACCCACTAATCCAATAAGAATAAGATACGCAAGTTTGTATAAAGACACAGCCATTGTGCAGAGATCGCATAGGCTAAATAAAATTTCGTGTAAGCTATTAGCTATTAAGCAAATGGTAGTAATTCATCCACCGACACATGTCTGTCTATCTCACTCTCCCAGCGTCCACTCTTATTTTCTTTCTCTCACTCTACACTGGATTTTTCATGAATCCAATTTCCGTCATTTTGCCAATCTCAGTTGATAAACTTTCGCTTTAATTTTTATACTATCACAACACACGCACTTTCCTATTCCACTGATTATCTTCACGAGGAATTTTATAAATCTCCAATCTCAGTTAACACTTGTGCCCAATAATGTATATCGCTGTAATTATTATAAATATAAAAACAGAAGATGCAAGACACACGATGCTGCTAAGTTGCAGGGAGCGCTACTATATATAAACGGACGCTTGCCCAGCTCTCGATTAACTACATACAGGTTCATTTCCATTTAAAAATTCTCTCTCTCTTCTTTCTCTTTACTTTAAACTCTCATTGGTCGCTTGTATCCCTTCTCTCTCTGGGTAGTTAATCAATAAGAATAAATCTTTCGACCAATCACTTTTCTTCTCTGTCTGCCTTGTGATTCGTTTAAATTATTGGAGGTAAAAATGGCGCGAAATTTAAATTTATTCAAAAATTCAATTTCAAATTTAAACATTTTTTTTTTTTAAGAAATAAATAAAAATTATTATTTAAAAGAAGAAATAATAAAAAATTTAATAAATATATTTATTTCTTCTTATATATTAATAAAAAAAATTAAATTTATATAATTATAAATATTAATAACAAATTTTTAAAAAATTCTTTATTAAAAAAATATATTTTTCTTATTTTATTAAAAATTTTTAAATAAAAATTATTATTTAAAAGAAGAAATAATAAATATATTTATTTCTTCTCATATATTTATATAAAAATTAAATTTATAAATATTCATAACAAAGTTTTTAAAAATTCTGTATTATAAAAATAGATTTTTTTTATTTTATAAAAAATCTTCAACTAAAAAATTTAATTATAAAAATTGTTAATAAAAAAAAAAAAGTATTTAATCAACAAGTGTTAGAATTAATACAGTTTTAATTAAAAATTTTCTTTTAAATAAACAATTAAAATTTAATACTTTATTTTAAATAATTAATTTAACTTGTAAGTATAAATATTTGTTGCTATAATAAACAATTCGCGTATTATTTACTCATCAAGAACATCAATACGTCGAGACAATTTCCTGTATTACGTTTCTATAGTAACGAGGAAGTTGACTGATAAACGATATGAACGTATGTACATTCCAACTGGTACATTCAATGTGTATTACTATTTCTATTGATTAACTTCATTATTTATATATATTAAATTACAACAATTATTTCTTTCTTCAACACAAAAATTTACAGTTAAAATTTCTTCAATTTAACGCGAGTAATTGTTTAATAAAAAATGACGTCAAAAACATGCCAAGAGTGCAAAATGTGCAGCCGAGGATTGCAATTCTACAATATTCCCGCGGTATCTACCAGAGAAACATATACATTTGTCAAGAGTCCACGTGCTGTTTTTCATACAAAGAAGAAATACCGGAACCCTCCTACGTAAGAAGCTAAAATTTATTTAGTAATTAAATAGTCATTAATTTAAATAATTTAGCGCAATATAATGTTGTTTATTAAAGCTTTACGTGAGTACTGTCGGATTTTTTATCGGAGCGGAATAAATATTAAATTAAAGCGTAAGGGTTGAAAAAGGAACAGGACTGAGGGAAATCAATGAATAATATTCAGACATCGACAACAAAAGCTTTTACTGAGTACACAATAAGACTATTATGAACGTGTTCATATATAGAGCGGAGGGAATGACCGCTCTTGCGATCTTATCGATAGTTACCATAGGCATTATATTAGATCTTGCTTTATACATATGTATATAAATAATACATTTATGTATGTTGATAGAAAAATTTCAAACAAATGGATGATGTAATCTTGATTATTTAATGCTACATCAATTTTTTTTATTTTTAAAATTCAAGACACTGTTTAAATTATAAAAAATTTCTTCTTTAAATAATTTATTATTATTTTTATATCTAAAAATTAATTTATAATATATTTTATAATTTTTAGAATATTATAACAAATAAATTATGGCAAAAAAATCGACATTTAGAAATTTAAAAAAATAAAAAATGCAATTTTTTTTTTAAATAATTTTTTTTGTTATAAAATTAAAGAATTGTCAAGTAATTGCTGACTTTAATGTTATTTTCCATTTTTAAAATAATTTTCATTTAAAATTATAGACAAAAAAAATTGCAAAGTATTTTTTTACAAAAAAATAAAAACCTTAATTGGTATAATTTAATATAAAAATTAATTTAGCCAACTTTTAAAAATTTTATTGAAAAATTATTAAAAGAAAAAATTTCATACTTATAAAATTAAAAAAATTACACGTGCAATTTTTTAAAAATATTTTTTTAGTCTTAATTTAATTAATAAAAACAAATTAAAAAATTCTCGTGATTGCTAACTTAATAATGTTATTTTTTATTTTTAAAATTAATGACTAAAAAAATTGCAAAGTTTTTTTTTTACTCAAAAATTAAATCCTTAATCGATATAATTTTAAATGAAAATTTATTTAGCCATCTGAAAAATTTAATAATTTATTTTATTAAGAGAAAATTAAAAATTACACCTGCAATTTTTAAAAAACATTTTTTTAGTCTTAATTTAATTAATAAAAATCAATCAAAAATTTTTGAACGTCGGCTAAGTTTATTATTAATTTAATTTAATTAAAAAAAAAAATAAGGTCAGTTTTATAAACTTCTCTATAAAATAATTTCCCTACAAAAAATTAGAAGAACCCTTCACCTTGAAGAGTTGCCAAGGGCTTGGAGCTTAAGCTAGGTTATTTGATTCCTTCGTTCACCGGGCTTGCGATCACGGATTAATATATGTATTTCATACATATACATTGCGTCAATCCATATAGTACATACATAAAATAAGTAACTCGACTACAGTGTTACAGTGGTCAAGCGGCCAAAGAAAGACATGCGCAAGTACCGAGCAAACACAAACACACTAGTATTGAGTGGTCAGTCCACGTAGAAATGTTGCAAGTACATATGTGTACCTGTACATGTCTTCATATACCCAGTATGTAGTCTGTATTGACTGGTAGCTGGTACACATAGTGACCGCTGTCCAGCAACGACTCCGAGCACAAAATTTCAGCCCCGTCAGTGTTGCCGCGAGCTTTAACCAATACGAGCTTTCTCATTCAGTCTTCATTTTTTTATTCACGTACCTCATACCTGTAGTTTCGATATATATTTCCCTCATCTATATATTTTCAATACCTGTATATATTTTTTTAGTAATAAAATCCATATCTTCCGGTTTTCTTCGATTTGATAAATAATTCAGTCATTCTACCAAAGCTGATCAATTGCAACAGCGATTCTCTTTAAATTTTAAAAGACTTGCACTTATAGAATAGCCTTGATCGGTAATTGCTAGTAAAACTTTATTATTATAATTATTCAGAGGCTATTATTAGTTCTAAGTATATATCATTGTCCGAAGTAATAAAAGTAGTTATTTTATTTTTTATTTAAACAAACAAATTTATTAATTAATTAAATTTATTAATTTTATCGGCAATAGATTTATTTTTTCTCATTCTTGATCGATTTTTTATTTTTTATTTAGACAAAAAAATTCTTTGTTATTCTCAATCGATTTTTTTTACACGCTTATTTTAGCTAACACGAAAGCTGTCAATGCAAATTGTCCAAAAAAATTAATTATTTCTTCTTTAAAAGTGAACTTATTAAAAAAAAAAAATATTAAATTTTTTTAAACAATTTTTTTTGCAAGTAAAAAAAATATTCGTGCTTAAGTGAATGTTTTAAGTGCCGCGTGACTTTTAACACACTTGTAAATTATTTCTTACAATAAATTCTGCGAAAAAGATCATCAGAGATATTTTTTATGGCGAATTGTTAATCACCGCTGGTCGATAAAAAAAACTACATAGTATATAATTATAATTGTAAAGAGAGAAAAAATAAAAATGCCGGCTGGACTATCAAGTCTTCCACCTTCTTCATTTGACTACAACAACTACAAATCACCCGCGTTCATGATAATCCACCGCGACCACCTCGACAGTACGCTGCCGATTCTTCATATCAACAATTTTAACAGCGATGACAATGATAATGACAATTACAACAACGAGGACTGCAAGTACAACAATAAAAAGAGTTACTTGGCAGAAATAAAAAATGAGAAGAATAATTTTTTATCGCGAAAGCGCATCAGCAAGTCAAACGACCACTTAGTTCTCGCGAACTTGCAAAACAATCAAGTTAATCCGCTGAAGAAGAAACAAGTCGCTAAAAGTCATGACCAGCTTGTCAATAATGATGACAAAAAGCCGAACGATTTATCTTCGGGATTAATCGGGAATAAATTGCCGATGAATTTGACGACTGAAGATTTTAGCGAAGTACTGACGGATAAATTTAAGGACAATGATCGGCAATTGATTTCTTCTAGCAAAAGTAGCAATAAAACTGTTAACTGTAACAATAATAATAATAATAATAATAATATTAATGTAATTAATAATAATAATAAACAGTCTCCACAAAAGAAACCGTTCATAACAACAGTAAAGACAGGAGAATTTTTACTACCGCCCCCAGAAGTAGCCTCGCTTCTTGGAATGGCCCCAAATGGCTCCTGGATCGGTCACGACCTGGATGACACACACGAGGGTCTTCCACGCTCCAGGTTCCGGCCGTTTGTTTTCCGTGGTAAGCGCCCGGAAGTACGTCACAGCAGTCACAATGCTAGGTGTCCTGCGGCCCTTAAGGCTACTGTTGACTTTCCCGTAAATGTTGTAAATTCTTCGGGCGTCACTGCCTCGACCTTGGCTAATGAAGTACGCTCTCGAAAAGCTCTTAACAACAAGCTTTCTGACACGTAAGTTTACTTCAGGATCTATTAAGACATCAAGACACTTTGCTAATATAATTTCTTCCGCAATTGTAATTCATCATTTGTCATTAATAGCCGTCGTAATTTTTATTTTTTTTTTTTTTTTTCATATTCAATAATTGTATTTTTAGGATGATTTTTTTTATGATTTATGGAAAATCTACGGGACTTATTTTTAAGTAGTTTGCCTGGGTAATTAGATTTTAATATTAGTAACAGGATAAAAGAGGATCTTGACGAATTAAACGGGGATTATACCTTTTGGAAAATAAATCTTTTTGTTAAGTTTTGAATTTTAGAATTCAAAACATTTAAAATTATTTTTTTTTATGAAAATATCTATTTATTAAGGACTTTAAATAAATAAATAAATTAATTAATTAATAAAAAAATTAAAAATGATTTTTTTTAGAAATTTTAAAGTTTCACAAAATAAAAAAAATTTTTTTATTATTAAAAACAATTTAAAAAATTAAATTAATTAATAATAAAAAATTTTAGATTATTCTTACAGCGACAAAGAAGTTTTGTAATAAAAAATTGATTAATAAGAAAATTAAAAAAAATGAAAAAGTAAAACTTATTCTTACAGCGATCTTCCATGGACATCACAAGCGTTACCCAAAAAGCTGGAGCCTTTAAAAAACACAATGCACGTGATTTTAAATAACGATGGGTAAAATAGTCTAATTATAAATCGAGTGTGTCATTTTAATTCATTTATCCTGTAGTTATTAATTTTTCCTGCCAATAAATCCTTTTTTAGTAGAAAAAAAAGTATCCAATTTATTTGCTTACTAGGAAGGGGTGTCGCCAGTCTTTTCAATCCTGCAAATAACCAAAATTATCAATTAAAATATCATGATTTATTAATTAAATTTGAATAATGAAATATTAATTTGAAATTCCCTTGCAGAAGTCGCGTGAGACCGGAAAGTTTGTCGATGCCTGTTCTACTGTACCGAGGGATTATAATACATATTCGTTGCGTTTCGTATAAATTATACAGGAATATATGATACTGAGTAATATATAATACTAGACACAAGTACGGCCTCGAATTCACAATGAAAATTTTATAGTTCCTAGATACAATATTAATTATTATTATTATTTTTCTTATATTTACATATCTGCTATTAATTTTAATTTAAATATTCAAATCTCTTAAATATTTGTTTTTATAAATGTAATTTCTGCATTGCAGAGATCAATCACTTCCCTTTGCGAATATTATGTTCGATAGACGTGTTGTGCGTGGTAGCACATACGCTTCAGCTTCAAATATCGTGAGTTAATAACAAAAATCATTTTTAAATTAAGTAAAATTTTTTTTTGCTAAAATGAAGACAATAAATCTCTTTAAAATTATTTTTTTGCTTCAATAATTTTTTTCTTGGTGTAAATTAAATTTTTTTTAGTACAAGTTGAATGACCTTTTTAATTTTGATGAAAAATTAATATTTTTAGGCCGACTGTGAACAATCTGAAGCAGCTAGGCAAGCTGAGGCAAGAAGAAAACAAATTTATAAAAAAAGAGCTCAAATTCAAGCTACCAGGTCCATGATGATGAGGATTTCTTCACCTCCTCCAGTTCCTGGAAGAAAACATGAACCTGTTCAAACGGATTTATACCTTGAAGAAGTAAATATTATTTTTAATTTATTTAAATAATTTAAAAAATCTTCACTAATTATTTTTTCACGAAGAAAACAAATTTTGATTAATTAGTATAATTATTATTGATTTTTATTAAGATATAAATAGCTTAATACTAATTGAGTTAAATTACTGGACAATTTACATGCATATCTTATGATCAACCTATTTTCACCCCTTATTAAAGTAGAATAAATAATTAAAATCTAAATTGCTATTGCATGGAACTAGATTAATTTTATAAAATACTAATATCAGTAAATTTTATAAAAAAAAAAGTATTAATTATAAAATCCTTGTAAATATAATTGAAAAAATTCTAAATGTATTGAAAACTATTAATATAATTGGATTATTCACGTCTGACAAAATGAACTTGTAATTAAAGTTGCTTGAAAAGCCTCAAGAGTCAGAAGCTGCTACACAAACAGATTATTTCTTGGACAGGCCATCAACACCTCTGCATTGTCCCGGTAAAGTCGGGGTGGATGCTGAAACCCAAATAGGACCTGGCGATGTAAGTATCACCTTTACAAATTTTATAAAGGAAGAAGGGTATCATATTTACAAGCAACCTTGCAGTCACTATGTGACTACCGTGACTTGTGAATGTTAAATAATTAAAATTTTGCTTTATTACTTTCTTAAATATTGACGTTTTTAAAGATATAAGCTCATTCCGATGTTACACTCATCAAGAGCTTTCGTTTGAGTACCCACATGCATTTTTGATATATTTTTCATATATACATTATATATAATATATACAAATATATAAAATATATGAAAAATTGATGTGGGTACTCAAATGAAAGGTCTTGATGAATGTAACACCGGGATGAGCTTATATCTTTAAAAATGTCAATATTTCACAAGATATAACGTCATTTCTTAATTATACGTATCTAGAGATAGAGCATTATAAATACACTGGCCACAAAATTTTGCTTATTCTCTTAATAATGTAGATAATATACATATATATTTCTTCAATGCAGCTCTTTGACTTCGACGTTGAAGTTCAACCTATCCTCGAAGTCCTGGTAGGAAAGACGATAGAGCAGGCCCTGATAGAAGTCCTGGAAGAAGAGGAACTCGCTGCTCTGAAAGAGCAGCAAAGAAGATTCCGCGAATTAAGAGGGACGGAGAAAGTCGAGAAGCTAAGGCTCGAAGAACAGGAGCGGAGACTCAGAGAAGAAAAGGTATTTATTTTTTTTTTAATTTATGCCTGCAATTTTTCTAATTTTTTTTAATTGCTTCGAAGGAACAACGACTAAAGCAGCACGAAGAAGCTTTGAAGATCCAAGAAGAAACGGAAGAACGCGTAGCAGCTGCTGTTTTATTGACCGGCTACGTAGCCGAGCTATTGCCAAGTGTATTAGACAGATTAAAAATATCCGGATATTTATTACAGGAAATAAAAGAAGAAACGGAAGAGAGAGAAGGTTTTATGCCCTTGCTCGTCAGTGAGGTAAAGAAAGAAGTGGGCACAATGGTCGACAGCACAGAATTACTCGAAGGTAATTTTAAGGGTCCACTAAGCTCATCAGTTGTTTGACTAAATTTAGGGATTTGCCGGCTTTACCATCAAAAACCTGACTCATTCTGCAAGGCCTCGTCAAACCGTGCAATATTCTTTCTTTTACCTGCACTGAAAAGGTGTCAAAGATTCTACATATCATAAATCCTAGAGGATATACTGATACCCATCGGCAGACAGAAAAACAATAAGGCGCCAAACCCAACCCCTAAATCTGAATTATTATCTCCAGCCTCCAAAAGGCCCGAAATAGTACTCAGACTTGACACCTTGCTTCTTTCAGAGCAATAAATGCAATTGTAGTTTCAATTGTTATATTAGAGATCCGGGCTGTATTAATACCTCATCCGACCGTTGCCATGAACAATATTATTTTTCTTGTTGCTTATTCGGGTGGTCATAAATATTATACTTATACACTTATTTTCACACCTAACATTCAAGTTTTGGGCCTTAGAGTGACAAATATTTCTTTTTTTTTATTTAAAATTAATTGCCGGGCATAAATTGTAGTTAATAATTGTAGTTAATAAAATTTGTTGAGAATTTATTTAATAATTTTAGAAAAAAATACTAAACTTATTTTTAACTACTTAGTTTGAACTTTAAGCTGAAAAAATGACAAAACGCTGGATTATGCTTAGGACTTAATCTTTAAAAAAACCCTTGAAACTTTTACAGAATTATAATAACTATTTAAAGTTTTCTAATTTCAAAAAATTTTTTATCTTTACACTGAAATTAGCAGATATTTCATTACTTTTTAATTTTATTTTATAAATAAATTTGCACCAAAATAATATTTTAAAAAAATTGCATTTAAAGTCATTTTTTTATTTCTTTAGTTAAAATTTTTTTTTAATTTATTTTTAATAATTTATTTATTAAAAAAAATTCATAAAAATTTTCAAAGATCTGCTAATTTAAGTTTCAATAAAAATAATTATAATTTACATGTTTTTTTTCTAAAAAATTACATTTATAATTTTTTAATATTTCTTCTTAAATTTTTTCAATAAATTGTTTTTTCTCATCATTTAAACAAAAATAATCCTAAAAATGATGAAATATTTAATTAGAAAAATTATTTTCTATTTTTTCAGACATTATCAAAGAAATTCTTAAAAATAAAGCCGAAGTTTACCAAAAACAAGCCGAAGACTACGAGGAAGAAAGTATCAGATCACCAGTAACTCCAAAAAACAGCGAAAATGAAGAAATAAATGAAGAAGAAGAAAGCAATAACGATTCAAACGGTGAAAATTTGGCCACTCACGAATCAATGTTAACTGAGGATCCTGAGGACCAATAGCAGAGGATGAAATAGGAGTTTGATGATAAATTGAGTCATCTTTTGTACTTAATCATCGTCTAGCTGATCGTTTAATGTAAAATGCAATCCATGGAGAGGTGGTTAGTCTTTTTTGTTATTTTTCGAACAACCGGGGGAGAGACCAGCAGCTCTGGCTGCCCGGCCGGTCTTTGCTCTATATACCATGGTACATGTCCATACCACCTTCTTCTACATAGTACATTAGTAGCGGTGTACACAGCTGCGAGACAAATCCATCAGCTCGGCTGTCTCCACCCCGTGGGTGCATGACTCTCGTGATCAAGCTCGACACCACCGAGGAACCTCCAATGTGATGGGCTACATCCTATGAACAAACATCCCCGGCCTTGTCACAAGCCCACATTAAAAATCAATTATTGATTTTTCTTCATAAGAATTACACTTAACACTTAAAATAATTCCCTGATTTCATTCTGTGCCTTATTTATATCCCGGATAAATAAATATATAAATAAATTACTGATCAAATTAATGTTTTTGTTAGTTTTATCAAAAAAAATATTATTTTTTATGTTAAAGATATATAATTACTGTCATTTTATTAATAGTAGAATAAAATTATTTACTTTTACTGTAAAGAATCTTGTGTTTTTTTTTTTTTTTTTTAGATTTATTTATGACGTGTAAGTACTAGAATTAGATAATTTATTGACAGAATATGACACATTACTTTTACTGACAATTTTTCGTTAATGACAGGTCGGAAAAAATCAGATAAAAAGGACAATGTATTAATGGGTACTTGACAAATTATGGAGCTGAAATATTTCATGTATGGTATGTTTTTATAATTTTCTTTAGCAGGTTTAAGACTATTCTTCTATTGAAAGATTTATGGAAGAATAATTAAATTTTAATTTATTAAAATTTATTTTTGTTCTGTCTTAAAAAAAAAATTATATTTTTCTTTAATGAATTTCTAAATTTGTATTTAAATTATAAATAATTGCTAAATTTAATTATAATTAAACTAATTATTAATTTAATTTAAAAAAATACTGGTAATATTTAGACTAACATTTATTTTTTATTTAATTGACTTTAATTTGATTTATTTTATTTTTTATGAATAATATTAGAGTTTAAATTCTATTTAAAAAAATGGATTTTCAAAGAAGAAATAAAAAAAAAGTAATTATTATTATTATTAATAAATATTTTTTTTTTATTTCTTCTTTAAAATTTTTACTTTAAATTAGAAAACAAATTTATTTAAGAAGAAATTTTTGATGATAAAATAAATTGAATTTCTTAAAATAATATTTTGTAAAATAAAATTCAAAAGTGAAAGTAAAGTTGAAAAGTAGAAAATTTGACTAGAGTAATTACTTTCGAGGGACTTAAAGACAATAAACAGAATGGTATTAGCCTGGGTCGACTTGGGTAGTTGGTAAATTAAGATAAGCACCAACAGTAACTGCTAGTCTAACAACCTGATAAGGTTCACAAATTAAAGGGAGTACAATAATGCATTACTGCCCATTGAACATCTAAATATTAGTGAGCTCGAAGAGGTTAGATAGAACAAAAGAATATTGGCAATTGTTCTTCTCTAAGAAAGAAATTCTAGGGAAAAAAAAAAAAATGGATAGTAATGTCTTTTACACTTATTTCATTGTTTAAACTTATTTATAACTTTGTAAGCCGAACCCGAGGCATATACTTCCTATATAGTGTCATTTGTGTACGGAAATACAAAGACTGAGTATTTTACGCATACTTTAGTCCGCAGGATGATTCATGAAGTCTAATGATTTTGGACTTGTCAAGCAGGGTATTAAAATTTTATTATGAAGGCTCAAATTTACAAAAAATTTTCAACGCAAGAAGCTTAATGAGAAAAAGATCGGCGCCGCTGATAAAAGGTGTGCAAAGTATGAATAAAACTAATGACCTTCGCGCTCAGTTTTTTACATTTTTTTACATTACAATACTGGCTTAGAGTATGCCTAAGGGTGCCAAAAATCGCTAGCAGTACCCGTGTAGTACGTATCTTGTTAAACACTTAAGTAAACATTACTTTAGCCCTAAGACCTGTGAAGAAAGGACAGCTGCATATTTTACCTCCTTTCGACGCAGGTTATTACCGGAAATATTTTTTGATGAGTATGACTAAATTTTAAATAATTTTATTTTTTTAAAATAATACTAATAGAGTTGAAAGCTCTTGATGAGTGTAACATCGCAATGAGCTTATATCTTTAAAATACTCTTTATGAGTGTAACATCAGGATGAGCTTATATCTTTAAAAATGTCAATATTCAAGAAAGTACAGTGCAATTTAACAAAAGTAATTATTTAATATAGCAAAATTTTATTTAAAAAAAATAGATTTTCAAAGAAGTAAAAAAAAAAAGTAATTATTTTTTTTGATATCTTTCAAATAATTTTTTTTAAATAAAATTTCAACTGTGTTATTTATAATAATAAAAAAGAATAATAGTAACAATGAATGTAATAGCTTAATAACAAAAAATAATAAAAACCACAAAGACAAACCTGTCTAATGTAATCAAGATTAAATCAATCATAATAGGATGAGGTTTCACGGAGAATTTAAGTTGGCACAGTTTAAAAAAGCCACCCACCCTTTTTTAATGCGCCCCTTACAGCCGACCGAACTCACAAGAGGGGCTCATAGTTTATATATTTATATATATATCGAACAAAGTAGAGCAAGAGACTCGGCTCTAACCGAGAGGGACATATTGTATTGGATTAAATTAGCCAGGGGTTGAACATCCCGATGATGCATGCGTCCAATACTTGTGTGCCAAGTGAGACGTGTTTTAACAGGGGCACGGAGACAAGCTCCGGTTGAAAGCCCAGCAGAGTAGTTGCTTGGTGGGGTTGGTCCACAATTGGTACTGCTGCTGGGGGCTAGATATTATTTTGTCATATGACCCACGTCACCTGCTTCACGTGTGATTGTACTCTCAATATCAAATACTTTAAAATATCTTCCTTTTGTTTATTTACTCAATGAAATAAAATATTTATTTATTTTATTTATAAAGAAGAAATTTTTCTTCTGCAACAATTTATTTTTTTTTTATCTGGAATTTTATTTTTTTATATTAAAGTTGTAATTTTTAGTCACTTAAAAAAAAAAAGCAAAATATTTAAAACAAAAGTTACTTCAAATAAATAAATTTATTTAAAGAAGAAATAGTTAAAACTTTCAATTAAGAAGAATATAAACTTGTAATAAGACTCGCAACATATGTGATGATGAAATAATGTAAACACTATCTAATGGTTAAATACTATCAAAGCCACCCTCGCAATATTAAACACTTTATAAAGTGAAATAATAATAGAATATAAAATATTTTGGTGGTCAGATGTGGATATTTATAGGCGCGTGTCATATTACAAGCTATCTTATTCACACTAAATATCGACAATTGACAATGTGTTGAGCCACGTGACCATACAAGTTACTTAAATCTTTTGTCGTGTAATATATATTCTATTATGACTTTTATAAAGTCAAGTGGATTTTCTTGTATTTTATTTTTTATGAATTAGTCACAATTTTCAATCTTTATTTCTTCTTAAATTTAAATATTCAATAAGAAAAATTTTATTTCCAATTTAAGCTATTGATTTTTTTTTTTTTTTAGATATTTTGATTTATTTTGTTAATAAATGCCGAGTATTGAAGTATTGACTTATTGATTTCGTGACTCAGAAATAGATGAGAATAAAAATACTAATGATAATAATAACAATGAACGGATGACATTCGCATTGATAGATATATATTTTTGAACCTGTGTGAGTGTATATAAATTAATAATGTATGAGGTGAATGTATGTTAGGTACAGCCATTAGATGAAAACTTTTGACACTTGCAAAACCGCGACGAATCATTTTTATAGCTTGGTAGCTACCCCGAAAAGCTAAAACCAAAACCCCGCAAGATTATAACTTAGTCTTGTATATATATCTAGGCATTCTCTTATACAATACCAAACAATACCATGTGTAAAGCCGGGTGATTGTATACAGCTTCAATATAAGGGTATTCAATACAATAAAATTCGTCTTGCTTTTACAAAATTATACTAGTATTAATATTAATTTAGTGACAATTTTTGAGTGTCAAAAAATTATTTAATTTTTGAAGTTATTTGTAAATTTTTTTTTTTTAAATATAAATTAATAATTAAATAATTAATTTTGAAATTTAGAAAAGTAAATCTTTAATTGAGAAGAAAAAAAAATGATGAAGAAATAAATTTTTAGTTAAGAAGAAAAAAGACGGATGAAGAAATAAATATTAAATAAATTTAATTAAGAAGAAAAAAAATGAAGAAATAATTTTTTAATTAAAAAGAAAAAAAGACGGATGAAGAAATAAATATTGAAAGTGAAAAAAAATTACTGTAATAAAGGAAGAAAAGAAAAAATAGTATATGATGTATGCAAGTAACAGCAACCACCGTCAAAAATGAGGGTCGCTTGACGATAATACGTAGATGATAATCGTGATATTAATATCGCATTGAGAAGCGCGCACATGCGTGCAGCCAGGATTGGTCACGGTGAAACACTTGCTCCCCAAATGGAGCTCCAGCTCATATCAGCTTAATGCCCGATCCCGATGGTGATGGTTTGTATTAGCGTATTCTCTGATACTGAATACATCCTGATTTTTGAGTAGACGGTAGACAAGAGGGAGAAATTCATACCACAAAAAGATACGAGTACGAGCAGAGTAATAGGTACCACAAATAGTTCCACCACTATTTTATAGTCGAGGGTGATCATTATATGATGACCCCCTTCACTTATTATATCCCTTTAAACCACCGCTTTTTTTTATTTTTATTAACCACGTGTTAAAACATGTCATCAATATCAAACTAAATTATTTTTTGTAGTAAAATTTTTTTTATTTTAAAGAAACTCAAGAAGCTGAAGACTTACCTAGATGGTGATATTTGTCGCTGATGCTTAACGGCTGAATGATGAACATTTGCTCTTTATTTCTGAGGAAATAAAAAGGATATAGATTTTAATAGTGAAATAATAATAATGTATGGTTAATGCAAGACCAAACTGAGGGTTGGTGCGGCTTGTGAGCACTCGTGTTATTCCCTGGTATGGTCTGACACCATCCGGAATGAATCACGACCTTTTACTACTAGCTCTACTAGCTAAGGACCATCTCGACAATCTAAAGATACTTTATTAATCTCCTTTTTATTTTTTTTTTAATTTATTTTTTTGTATTTTATTTAAATTTATTAATTATTAATTCAAAAATTTATAAAGAAGAAATTTTCAATAAATTTTTGAAAAATAAATTAATGTTTTAAAGAAGAAATTTTTAATAAATAAATTAATGTTTCAAAGAAGAAATTTTTAATAAAAAAATTAAAGTTTTAAAGAAGAAATCTTTAATAAATTTTTGAAAAATAAATTTATGTTTTAAAGAAGAAATTAAAATAAAAAAAAATTTTTTAATAGTATCCCATTCAATGCAAGGCTAAAATAAATTTCAAGTAAGATTATGTTTGACAGTGGTCGCACACATTTGATGAGATTAATTTATAAAAAAGAACCGATAAATTGATAAGGATCGTGATAGGCTTATGCATCGAAAGATCGTCGAGATGAAAAATGAGAAGAATGGAGTACTTAATTTGGTAATCAGTAGTTGATTCAGATGCACCTTTCCTGTACACATGTGATCAGATGTACATGCAGAGATCCCCCGCTCTTGATGAAGAAGCAGTGGCTTGCAGCTGAGCCAAACAGTATTTTTTCACATCAAGCTTTTACCGCCCCATCAGACACTTGCCGATCTGCGGTCCTTGCTTTTAGCGTCACCTTCTTAACCGCACCGGCTCCATTGTTTACTAAAAATAAATAAATAAATAAATTATTTGCTAAAACTTCCATATTTTGAAAATTTAATATTTATGATGAGACAAAACAGTTGTCATACCTGACAGTAAAGTTAAGTCTTCGAGTTTAAGTCTTTACTAATTACTAAAATAATTAAAAAAAAGTAGCGTTTAAAGCTTTACCTTTTTTATTCTAGCATTTTCTACCGTAAACTTAAATTACACATAATCCATAAATCTTACCCGAACAAATTTAAAAACGATTGAAGTTATCGACTAAATACTTGTTACCATCAGCACTATTCAATTATCAGTAATGACCTACCACTGTGCATCACACTTAATCTGAATATCTAATTTGCTTGACATGTAGTTAGTTTTCAATAAGGAACCATAAATAATTATTATTGTTACTAAATTTTATAATAATTATTTTTTTTTATTTGTTAAAAAATTTTTTAATTAAAGTTTTAAAAATAACCTTTTGGTCTAAATTTTTAGTAAAATATTTTTAAAGTACACATAATTGTTAATTTAGAATTTTAATTAATTTTTTTTTTTAAATAAAAGAAAAAAGTTAATATTAATAAAAACATTTTTTTATAAAAAAATGAAATATCTATTAATTTTTTACTAGTCTTCTTATTTTATTGGACAAAAATTTTTCACCAAATATTTTTCATAAAAAACATTAAATTTTTTACTATGCTTCTTATTTGATAGCACCAAAATTTTATATTGTACTAAAAATTAGTACAAATTACTAGATGCAACTCTAAAAATAAAAAAAAAAATTTTTCAAGTGGAATAGTAGATGCACCTTGCGGTGACACGTGTCCAGATCTTTAATCATTCGGATATCATCCCTCTTTTCGACGCCTCGGTCCCTACTACAGTCAAAAAATCACGCCATAGCTCCCCTGTTTATTCAAAGTTCCGGGTTCCAACAACCGAACACAATTAAATAAGCACTAGGCAAAAGAGGGAGGTACTAATAGCAATTTTGGCCTATGACAGCCGCTCTTAGCTAGAGAGTGGGGAAAAGCCCAGGATTTACACTATTTAAGCAGTACCGAGTATTTAAGCCATGTTCGAGTACAAATTTTTCAGTACATACTACGAAAGCGTACCTGCTTAATCATTGCAAGTAAGAATCTCACTTTTTCCAACGTGGTCTTGCTTTCGTACTTCAACAGTTCCTTTGGATTTCTATAACAAGTCTTCGAAAGTAGAACTTAAATTATTTGTTTAAGTTCTTGAATTTTTTGGTGCTTGTGAAGTTTACTAAATAGTATTCAAAATTAGTGATACTAGTGTGTATCCAGAAGCAAGTAGGATGGTAATGAATATTGCATCAATGGAAAGATTTCCTATAAATTATGCTTACACGTATAACAATTTAAATCGAGCGCCTAGGCCGCAGCATTGTGTAAGGGCTGCTGGTCATCTACCAATAAACGCATCCACGGGAGTTATTGAAGAAACTGACCTTCAAAGAAGCGTTACACCTGTTGACCAACATGTAAGTACAATTTAATTATTTTTTCTACTTTTATTTTATTCACGCATAAGTTTTTTTATTTTTTTTTTAATTTTTAATTTGAATTTTTAACATTAAAAATTTTTAATATTTTTTAACATTAAAAATTTCTAATGTTTTTAAATATTAGAAATTTTTAATATCTTTAAACATTAAAAATTTTAATATTTTTAAACATTAAAATATTTTAAATATTAAAAATTTTTAATATTAAAATAAATAATCAATAAAAAAAATAAATGCGTGAAGAAAATAATAAAAATCTAAAATAAAAATGTAACTAATAAACCATATTATTAACAGATCAATGTTGTATATCATCAAGGCCGGTTAATCTGCAGAGACATCCCATTGGACGCGTCAGCTTGGTTCAAATTAGTAACGATAGCCAACAACATTCACAACTACAACGTAATGCTGGAACAAGTAGACCGAGGAATCTTACTGAAGGCAAAAAAAGAAATCTTCCCCGGCGAGCCTTTGATGATGTGGTTCGACAATCAATTGCTGACGAAGATGAACATCCCACTGTACCTAGAACCCCAATGCATAATGCAATCAGGCTGTACACCTAATTATAGGTGTCAGCGTTGTGACCGCCAGTTCTCAGATCCGAATCCTCTGAAGATACACATAGCGCTGGACTGCAACAAATTGGACAAAAGTTTCCTCTGGGACAAGCTGGCCAAAGGATACGCTTCTTTTCACCTGGACAATTTTCGGACGAACTTTCCGTTAGCGTTCCAGTATCAAATGCTGTCTCTTCAGCATCAACCTAAAATGATGTTGCACGACCTGGAGGTCAAAAGCCCGAGATTGAGGCCGTCGCAGAAGCACCAGGCGTTGCCACCACCAACAATGAGCTACCCTAATACAAGGGTTGAAATTCCAGCGACCTCGACGGCATTGACAGAAGCCTCGACAAGTTCTTCTGACGAGACATCACCAAACGTATCGATAAATTCTTCACTGGAGCTCTGGAAAACGCCGGTTGAACCCGTGGGGGTTCCTCACTCAGCGTTCAAGCCTTACCCCCAGCAACGCGTTCCTGAGACAATCCCTCATAATTTAAAATTAATTCCGCATAACAAAATAATTTACAATTACCCTCCTCAAATCAATCCCTTCTTCCAAGCGAACCTCAGAGCGCCCGTATCGATGGTAAATGTCGCAAATGCTGAAGAACGTGCTGCACAAATGGAGACCATCGTCAGCAACCTCGGGAAGTCTAAGAATGGACATCACTGCTTGTACTGCCGCAGAATCTACTCCAGGAAATACGGATTGAAAATTCATATCAGAACTCACACAGGATACAAACCTCTCAAGTGCAAAATTTGCTCCCGAGCTTTTGGAGATCCCAGCAATCTTAATAAGCACGTCAGGCTACATGCTGAAGGTAGTAACTTCGAGAGTCCTTACAAGTGTGATCTGTGCGAAAAAGTTTTCGTAAGGCGGAGAGATGTTGAACGGCACATGAAATCCAGACATCCTGAGAGCGAATCTATTTCTTCTTCGTCGCGACGTTAGTCTGCAGAAATTCAAAAGCTTGCATTAAAAATTTTTGTACATATATATATCTGAATATTTGTGTTGACATTTATTTTCTTCACTGAAAAAAAAATTAACTTGAATCAAGAAAATAATTTTGAAGAGTTTCAGTGTCTAGAATCAAGACAAACAATTTTTTTAATCAAGTAAAATTTATTTAAACTAAAAAAAGTTTCTTAGTTTAAGAATTTTTTTACTCAAATTAAGAAGATAGTTCTTTAAAATTATTTACTTGATTCAAGTTAATTTTTTTTTTCTGTGTATAAACATTAATTACATGTTCCACATAAATTTTCGCATATATTTCAATGAGGGGGTGAGTTGCTGGCAGCTCATTTTTGATATTGAAGATTAATTAGGTTATTTATTACTATTTATTTTTATTTTTTAAAATTACTTTAATTCATTTTAAATATTAATTTTTTTCAAACATCAAATTAAAATTAATATTTTTTTTTAAGCTATATCGGTTCTGAATGCTCGCAATTTTTTATAATAATTTTTTAAACTCGGTAATTTAAATTGATATTTTTTTCTGTTTTCCTGCGACGTTGTCTTAAAATAAAAGAAATATTTATTTAAAAGCCAATTTGATGCGTAAAAGTATTCAGAATCAATTAGTTTATAATTACCGATGCTAGTCAGAGATATGTAATATATTTAGAATACATTTAGAATAAGAACCACGAATTTGTAAATAAAATTTAGACTTAATAACTCTGTGCCTTATTTTCACAGTTAATTTATTATTAGTTTTAACTTTTATAAACAATTTTCAAATTATGGAAATGTTTATTTTTAAACTAATCGAACAAAATTTTAAATTGTTAGTGTAAGAATAAATTTTTAGAATTACTTAAATTGTAAATAAAATTGTTACCGTCTATTTTTTAACTATAGGTAAAATTTTTGTAAATTTGTAATTGTATATTTTTATGTTTAATGAAAAATCAAATGAGTGAAGATTCTATTTTAATAAATTTTATAAGATTTAATAAAATTATACTGCAGTTTTTTTTTATTCAGTCCTTTTTTTAATAAATTTATAATTTTCCTTTCTATCCTCCGCCATTTTGCCGGAATTTTAAGAAGAAACAAACTTTGAGCGCAACACTTGTCTAAAATAGAGAAAATAAAAAGTTTTGTTGCTTTTTTCAAAGTAATTAATATTTTAGACAATTTTAAACTTGAAAAATTATTATTTTTGATAAAATTAAAAGTTAATAAAATAAAATAAAATTAATATTATGAAATTTTGTATTTTAAACTGAAAATATTCTGTTAAAATTAAAAATAAAAACAATTATGGACTCTAAAAAATAAAATTTTTAATACTTACAGTAAAAGAAGAAATAATGAGTTTTTTTTTTTAAATAATTGAATAATAAAAAAAATTTATAAATAAAAGAACTCTAATTTATCTTGACAGTATCGATAATAACGAATCACTAACTATATCTGAGAAAATATCACACTATACATTTTTTTTTAATTAACTGCGCATGCGCGAGTCTGTCTTTAGCTACTTGTATAATTTTATATTCATAATAAAGAGATTTGATATCTTATTCAAAAGTAAGTTACATAATTATTAAAAAATTCAATTTTTAATAATTAATCATTTTTTTTTTTTTTTAAATAAAAAACTTAAAGTTTAGTTTTATATTTATACAATAATAATAAAAAATAATTCAAGACCTCACTACAATTGGGGTTAGCTCTGTGATGTAACAGTCATGTCAAACAGTGTATATTCTGAAAAATTAATTATAAAGAACATTAGTTAACATAAATCTTAATTTTTGCAGTTTAAAAATGGCAACACTCGCACGAACATTGCGACCAGCTTTCCGGTGTCTCCGGAGCCAGGCCAGATCTTACGCCGAGGCATCTGGAAATGAAATGAAATTCACATTTGCTGGAGCTAACCAAGTATGTGCAACCAATCACGTTATAAAATATTTTATTTAATATATTAATTGTTAATTTATTTTGCCAATTATAAATAACATTAAAATTGAAAGACATCTGATAATTTTTAGGGATTTTTTAATAATTAAATTATTGGAAGAAAAATAAAAAAAAAATTCCAATTTTCGGAGCTCTGAAAAATTTTATTATAATTAATTTAGTAGATATTTGATAATTTTTTTAACAAATAAATTATGTCAAAAAAAAATTGACATTTAGAAATTTAAAAAAATAATTTTAAAAGCTAGTTTATTTAGAAAAAAAAAAAAAAATTGTAAAGTGTTTGCTAACTTCAGTGTCATAATTATGATCGATATTAATAAAAAAATTTTTGTCTCCAGGTCTTTTACGACAACGTTAGTATTCGCCAAGTCGACGTACCTTCATTCTCCGGATCATTCGGTATTCTGCCAAAACACGTTCCTACCTTGGCAGTTCTAAAACCCGGAGTAGTAACAGTTTATCAAGATGATGGTACAACTAAAAAAGTATTCGTGTCTTCTGGAACTGTTACCATTAATGAAGATGCCAGTGTTCAAGTAAAATATTAATTTTTGACAATAAGTAAAAGTAATTTTAATAATAAATTATAATATTTTATCAACTTACAGATTCTAGCTGAAGAAGCGCATCCCGTGGAGAACCTCGACAACTCAGCAGCTCGTGATATCCTCAGCAAAGCTCAGAGCCAATTGAATTCAGCTTCATCAGAGCAAGACAAAGCTGAGGCTGCTATCGCTATTGAGGTTGCTGAAGCTTTAGTTCAAGCATCTTCTTAAATTCTCAGCAAATTTAACATCTAAATTTTACCATGCCATTGATTTATTAATTCATTAATTAATTTTAATTAATGATTCACATTAACTTGAAATTTATTAATACAGTTACTTACTGTCGATCAACATTAGATATAGCGATGTTAATAAACATCATTGTAATGGCTCATCGTTGTTAATCTGTAAAATAAAATAATAGAAAAAAAAAAAGAAAAGTTAAATTTAATTATGTTTTTTATTTATTTCAACCATTTAATTAAATATTAAATTAGATAATTAATTTATTAAAAGGAATATTGTTTTTTTTTTAGAAATAATTCTACAATATTTAATTAATATAATTAATTTATTTCATTTATGAAAAACATCTTATAAAAATATGTACAGCGTTTATAAAAATATAGTATTAATTTTGGCGACGTCGTGTTCGCGAGATTCTCCACGAATTAGGCTCCTCATACTTATTATAAAGTGGTTCAAGTCGTTGATTCTTCTTGAACTTGCTCAACTTGGTCGGGTCACCGAATTTGAAGAACGCTGGTGCAAATTCAACAAGCCATTTTGGATCAATGGTCGTTACCTCCCGCATGTATTCCTTAGTAGTTTGTACGAGCTCGTGGTAAATGACCCACTCAGGTTGTCTGTTGAACAAAGCACTGCTCGGATGAATGTACACAACTTGGCTATCAACGAGCGTTCGATATCCTTCTTGAGGGTCTTTCTTCGCTGCATTTCTGAAGAACCCCGAGCAAACAGCTTTTTGAACTCGAACTGAATTTTTTCCTGAAGAAACGATATCCAATTTGTGCCTGTCCATAATACCGAGCAATTGTTTCCTAACATCTTGAGCTCGCTTCAATGTCCGAAGTTGAATAAAGTTCTCGTGACACCACGGGCTGCTGAACTTATTATTCTTCCAAGAATTATAAACAGCTAAAAGAGTAAGATGATCTCCTTCAGCTTGGTTGAATTTGGCTTTCTTCTGATCAGCCAACGGTTGTTTGTCTTTTGGCCGATAAAACACATTTTGTACTGACAGCATGCTTACAATTGTCAATATTTCATCGGAGCACTGAAGATGGACACTCATGATCAACATTTTCGAGAGATTTGGCTCCAGTGGAAATTCAGCCATTCTCCTTCCGAGTCTTGTGAGCAAGCCTTCATCATCTACAGCACTAAGATCATATAACAACTTAAGAGCCTCTATCAATGATTCTGCCGGTGGAGGGTCCATGAATCCAAAGTTCAACAAATCATTGATACCCATTGCTTTCAGTTGTAGCACAGTAGTAGCTAAATTGGTTCTTTGAATTTCCGGAACTGGAGTAGGCAACATCTCATCTCTGAAAGCCCGTTCTGTGTATAGCCTGTAACATTTACCCGGGCCAGTTCTCCCTGCCCGACCTGCGCGCTGAGTTGCAGCAGCTTGACTAATGGGCGTAACAACCAAACTGTCCATGCCTGTCTTAGAATTGTAGACTTTTTGCTTTACAAATCCCGGGTCGACGACGTAATAAATCCCATCAATCGTCAGACTAGTTTCAGCGATGTTTGTCGCTATGACAACTTTACGCGATCCGGTTGGCGCAGGGTCAAAAATTCTCGTTTGCATTTCAGAAGGCAGCGCTGAGTATACAGGTAGAATAATAAGCTCAGGAACGTCTGGGCCCAGTGATTTCATCCGCTCGTAAAGAGTTTCACAGGATGTGTCAATTTCTTCTTGACCGGTTAAAAACAAAAGAATATCTCCCGGTGGTTCTCGTAGATGGATTTGCATCACCGTTATCAAAGCAGCGTCCAAGTAATCTGACTCAGGTTCTTTTGTGTACATTATTTCTACGGGGAAGGTACGACCTTCTATTTTGAAGCTTGGAGCTCCGTGGAAGTACTGACAGAACTTGTCGGCATCAAGAGTAGCACTTGTAACAATCAGCTTCAAGTCTGGTCGTCGTGTAACAGCTTGTTTCAACAGCCCGAATAGAACGTCAGTGTGGATGGTACGTTCATGGGCCTCATCCAACATAATCACTGAATACATTTTCAAGTCAAGGTCTATTAAACATTCACGAAGAAGCATACCGTCTGTCATGTATTTAATCTTAGTTTCCGGCGAAGTGCAATCTTCAAAACGTATTGTGTAACCAACTTCCTGGCCCACTCGACATCCAAACTCTTCAGCGACTCTTTTGGCAACAGACATGGCAGCAACTCTTCTGGGCTGGGTGCAACCTATTATTCCTCTTGCCGTGAATCCTTCTTCTGCTAAATATTGCGTGACTTGCGTTGTCTTTCCTGAACCAGTCTCACCAAGAACCACCAAAATTTGGTTCTCATTGATTGCTTTTATAAATTGGTCCCTCAATTTGAAAATTGGCAAGCTTTTCCGTTGATCAAGAATACTCATACTAGTTTTCTGACCAAAGGAAGTTTTTTTACCACCAATCACATGCTTCTTCCATTCCGGTAAATCTTGAGACTGGAATCCAATACCACGCATGTTAGAAGATAAAGTTTTGTCTTCCATAACAGCCAGAGGATCAACCCAATTTTTATTGAAGCCGGGAGCTGCATCCGTCTCCAATTTACGCTGCAGCATCTTCTGCTCTCGACGTTCTTTGGCCAGAGCACCCTGCGTCATCGCAGCCAGCGCTAGTGACCCATCAGGATTTTTAACAATTCGCACCGGACTCAAGGCACGAACGGTTGTATCGTGATCCTGAAGAAACGGTGGATTCTCCTCTCTAATCTCGATTTCAATCTCCTCGTCTTCGTCATCTTCACGGTGAAGCAATCCGGTATTCTCGTCGAAGTTAGGCAGCTCACTACGATCGAGACAACCAGCAGCAAGCATCTGATTATACTCCCATCTCTCTGGAGAAGCAATACGCTTGACTCGTTTGCAAGAATCCATTCCATCGTCATCAATGTTACCTTGTAGCTCCAAGAGTGATGTTGGTCTATCAGGATTCCTAAGATTTTGCTCATCTTCTTCAGATCTTGTCATTGGTAAACTTGGATTCAAATCTCGTCCAGTTTCTTGATCAACGTCTTTCATAGTCAGTGACATTTTTTGCCCACTTATGGTCAATACTTTAACTAAGACTTTTTGACCACGAGAAACTACATCATTGACATTGCTAACACGTTCATCGCGTCGTAATTGAGAAATATGCACCAAGCCATCACATTTTCGTCTGAATCCTTCCAATTGTACGAAACATCCACAGTCTATAATATTTGCTACTTTTCCAGAGTAAATTTTTCCAACTTCAGGATTTAATGGAATTTCTTTTGGTGATCTAGATCTCGAGCGATTTTTAACATTTCTTCGTCCACGATCAGACCTGTCTCTTGATCCGCGTCGCTGTCTTCGATCCCTTGAGGATGATCTGTTGCGGCTTCGCGATCTTCGTCGCTTTTGATCGCGATTTCTTGACCTGGACCTATCCCGATTTCTCGACCTTGACCTATCACGATTCCTAGACTTTAATTGACTATTTCTCGTAGAAGATCGATTGCGAGAACGAGATCTCTGTCTTCTCTGGGGACTTCTCGACCTGCGTCTTCGCTCTCTTGATTTAGATCTAGATCGTGAACGTTTGGATTTATCGTTCTTCTCTGCCTTTTTAGAAATTTCATTTTCATTAGATTTTTGCAAAGAAGAAGGAGCCAAGGCTTCGAGTGCTGACATGGCTTCGTTCACCTCCTCGTCGTCGTCGTCTGAAAAAGGTACTGGCGCGCTGTTTGTCATGGCCAATGCTGGATATTTTCTAGCCACTTCACTCTGGTTTGTGATTTTTACCGAATCCTTGTTGTTTGATGGTTTAGATGGTTTCATGTGCTGAATTATTCGAAGTAAATTGTCCATAAATGAATCAGATAGTTCGCCTCCATTTTCTCGTAATGCCTGCTTGAATCCATCGGGTGTTGGGTTCTCTGTCGCCAAATGAATTATGAACTCGGCTGTAAAATAAAAATAATTATCAATTGCTGTTCCTTTTTTTTTTTTAATTAAAAATATTTAATAATTTTTTTAACAAATAAATTATAGCAAAAAAAAGTTGTAAAAAAATATGACATAGATATTTTTAAAAATTAAAAATGCTATTTTTAAAAAATGAATATAAGAACCTTAAAACCACGCTGTGTAGATTTATGATTTTTTTTACATGTAAATAGACACTTCTAACAATTATTAGGATTTTAGTAATTAAAATAAATTTTTTATTTAAAAATTAAAATAAAAACTATGGAATATTTAAAAAAATTTCAATTATTATTAAATAATTTGATAAATTAAAATTAGTACATACCTAAATCCTTGTCGTTGAGCCCCAAGTGATTTTCCAATTCCGTACATATTTTAGACACCAACGATAAATGCTCAAGTTTTTCAATATCGTCATTTAAAACCATTTTGACGATTATTAATTTCCAAAAAAATTAATTGTATTTAAATATGTTAATAATTTATAACAATTAACTCGGCTAATTACTCTACAACACGAACTGATTTATTCAAACGTTTGTAAACGTCTGACGCACGTTCACAGTTGTTTATATTGGTTATGTTTTTTTTCGTTGCTAAAACGTATGTACATATATATAGAATGAAAATAAACATGGCGCTGTAGGTAAATTCAAGTCCCGCCATCTAGTGGGAGTTTTATAACCTAAAAGTAAGATGAACAATTATCGACAGTAATTTGAATCTCGAATATATTTTTATATTTCAATTGTTAATTAATACTTTGTTTATTATTTTCAGATAAATTTTCTCAAAGTCCATCTGAAAAATCTTAAACTTATTTTTTTATGGATATTTTAATGAAAATTCAGGTAATTTTTTAAATAATAAATAAATTTTATTCAATTATATCGTGGAATTAATTTTCATAATTTTTTTTTATTAAAAAAAAATTTTCATTTGTAAAAAACTTGAAAAACTATAAGTACAATTTTTCAAAAATATTTTTTATTTCTAATTTAATAAATGAAAAATAAAAAATTAAAAACGTCGGCTAATTTTAGTATTATCATATGATTACATTTTTTTATTAAAAAACGACAATAAATTTAGCAGATATTTAATAATTTTTTTTAACAAATAAATTATGACAAACAAAATATAAAAAAAAATTGAGATGTAGAAATTTTAAAAAATTAAAAATGCAATTTTTTTAAAATAATTTTTTTGTTAAAAAAAAAATTAGAAAATTCTCTAGTGACTGCTAACTTTACTGTCATTTATTAAAATTACAATTACAATAATTACTTGGCTGTATTCCAGAAAATTCTGATTGGTTCCCCCCACTCTTTACGACAGTCTTTTTGTCGATTCCTCTACACTCTACGCATGCATTCTGCATTGCTGTGTTGTGCAGTTCAGTGAATAGTTTACAGTTTATATTATATATTTAGTAGTGAAACTTAACCTCAAACCTAAAAATACCAAAAAACATTTGAAGTTTTTAAAAATTTTTAAATGAGTCGCCGAAGAGCCCACGAAGATGACGACGGGTACGACCGCGCGTACAAAAAGCGTCGTCGCGTGTCCGAAAACCAGGAAATCGAGGATCGTTTGGAGTCGCTGATAATCCGAGTGGGTGAAAAATCATCCTCGTCATTGGAGAGCAACTTGGAAGGACTGGCATCTGTTCTAGAAGCGGATCTGGGAATCTTCCGGAGCAAAATCTTGCGAATCTTGACAGACTGTGCCATGAAGATGCCGGAGAAGTGTACGGTGTACACGACCCTGGTAGGATTACTCAACGCCAAGAACTTCAACTTCGGGGGCGAGTTCGTCGATCACATGGTAAAGAACTTGAAAGAATCCTTGAAGAATTGCCAATGGGACGCAGCCAGATATTCTCTGCGCTTCTTGGCAGACTTGATCAACTGCCACGTTTTGTCTTGCGGATCCTTGATGCAACTATTTGACAACATGCTGGAGACAGCCAATGAAGACGGAGTGCCCCAGGTTCGCCGTGACTGGTATGTATTTTGTGTGTTATCAACCTTACCGTGGGTCGGGAGGGAGTTGTACGAAAAAAAGGAGCAAGAGTTGGATCACTTGATGGTCACTATTGAGATTTTCATCAACAAAAGGAGCAAAAAACACCAGCCAGCTTTAAGAGTCTGGTCCAGTGACACTCCTCATCCCCAAGAAGATTATTTAGACTGTCTTTGGGCTCAAATTAGGGAACTGAGACAAGGCAACTGGGCAGAGAAGCATATTCTGAGACCTTACCTCGCATTCGATTCTATTTTATGCGAGGCGCTGCACCACAACTTGCCAACTCTGCTCCCTCCGCCGCACCACGAGTCCTACCTGTATCCTTTGCCCACAGTTGTCTTCAGGATGTTTGATTACACTGATTGTCCAGCAGAAGGTCCAGTTCTTCCTGGGAGCCACGCAATTGAAAGATTTTTAATCGAGGAGCACCTCCGGCAAATAATCGACAATTTTTACTTCGAGCGCAAGCACTGCGCTGCTAATTTACTCAGTTTTCCCTATAAAACAAAAATTCCCCTGGAATATTGCATTGTTGAAGTGATTTTTGGAGAATTATTCAAGCTGCCGACTCCTAAATACCTGGAGATCGCTTATGGCTCTATTTTAATTGAATTATGTAAATTGCAGCCGTCGACAATGCCCCAAGTACTGGCCCAGGCGACTGAGATACTCTTCCGGCGCATCGACAGCATGGCCGCTGCATCCTTCGACAGATTTGTCTGGTGGTTCTCGTACCATTTAAGCAACTTCCAGTTCCGGTGGTCCTGGGAGGACTGGGACTCCTGCTTGCAGCGAGAGCCAGAGCATCCGAGGCCTAAATTCGTCCGGGAGGTGCTGTTAAAGGTACTCAGATTGTCCTACCACCAGAAAATTAGAGAAATGATGCCGGAAAATTACGCGGAATTGATCCCTGCTGTGCCTGAGCCGATTTTTAAGTTTGCTGCTAAAGGAGCTAGCTCTCTCCCTGGGACAGTCGCTGCCAGTGAGCTGGTAGCTTCAATTAGACGCAAGTGCACGCCTGAGGAGGTACTTAATATTCTTAATTCACTGCCGGGGCAAAATGAAAATGAAGAGGCCAACAGCTTCAATCCGTTGAAAATTGAAGTGTTTGTTCAGACTTTGCTCCATCTTGGCTGCAAAAGTTTCAGCCACAGTTTTGCTGCCATCAGCAAGTACCACTACGTTTTTAAAGTACTTGCCGAGACGGAGGAATCTCAGATTTGTATTCTTCAAAACATGTTCGCTCTTTGGAAGAATCATCACCAGATGTTGGTTGTTTTAACTGATAAATTTTTAAAGACTGGGATCATTGAATGCAGCACTGTTGCCAAGTGGATTTTTTCTAAAGAAATGGAGCCTGAGTTCACGAAAATTTACGTCTGGGAAATTCTTCATCTTACTATTCGTAAAAAAAATCAGCATGTTATTAAACTCTCCAAAGAACTGGCGGAAGCTAAGGAAAAATTACGACGAACTGAACGAGGATCGGGATCTTCTTCTGAAGAAGACGAGGCTAATAAAGACACTGAAAGACCCACGGAGGATGCTGTGGAAGGTATGGAGGAAAAATTAGAAGCTGCTGAGTCTGACCAGAAGAATTTGTTCCTCATTATTTTCCACGGATTCACCATGTGCTTGACTGATAGGGTTGACTACAACACCCACTGGTACAAATGGACCATTGGACGGCTTCAGCAAGTCTTCTTGGCGCACCATGAACAAGTCATGAAGTATTCTTCTACCCTCAAGAGTCTTGTTTTTGCTGAGGACACTGATCGCCACATCACCGATGTTTTTCATCAATTTATTTCTCTACGGGCTTAATTATTATTTGAGTTTTCATATTATCGAGTAATTAAATATATTATATTTAATAATTATTATTCTGCTATTTTAAAGTTAATATTACAGCTGGTCTTTATTCGTTAAGAAGCAATTTTTTTTTTTTTTTTTAAGTATCAGCTAAATCTTTTTTTTTTTATAGCAAATATGTAACAAAAATGTTTAATTACAATAAATACAATGGAAGAATTGTAAATAACAAAATTTGGATTTTTGATCGTTTATTTTATAAACTTATTTGTCATTAAAATAATATATATGTACAATAAGACTTCTTTAAATTTGTATAATTAAATAATATATTAGTCAAATATAGATTTTAATTAAATAACATTTATATAAATAATTAAATATTTTATAAAATTAGTATAAATAGTTTTTTTTTGTAATTTTGATTTAATTTTTTAATACTTAAGAAGTCTTGTTAAGTAAAATAAAAAATTTTTTTTTTGGTAATTATTTACAACTAGATGAAAAATTAATTTTTTTTTAATTCTGATTTTATGATTAATATTTAAAAAAAAATAAAGATTTTTGCCTTAAAAGTTGGAAAAAATTTTGGCTCATGTTTTTGGATAAAATTTCTATTTTTTTTTTTTTT